AGATATAGGTACATTTGTCAAGGCACAACAGACAGGATTACGTTAGAATAGCCGAGTTAAAGTCGACCTTGATCATACTATGATAAACTGGTGGAGATGAGTAGAGTCCTTGAGACGACAGCCGATACTTTATACTTGCATCTAATGGAATCTAGCTATCTTGGGAGTTGGTCTTTGATATATGTCAGTCATGGAATACAGCTGAATTTATACGAAAATGTCACTTTGTACTCACTCATATTAAATAGCAGAAACAAGCTATACCTCCATATCGTTCCTGTGATCAGTTATACCACGATGACGCGTCTATGATTGGCTATTCAATCATCATAGTCATGGGACCGGCTACATGGTGCTCATGTGGTTATCTTGTTCAGAGTCACGTGGACGGCTATACCTCCAGCACTGTCACGTAGTCAGCTTTACCACCAGCATTGTCATGTGGTCAGCGAGACAAAATTGGGTTTAAAGTCGTGTTTAAGATCATTGCACTAACATACTGCGCACGCATATGTGTTAGTTTGTGTTAGTGTGTTAGTGTTAGTGTGTTAGTGTTAGTGTGTGTGTGTGTGTTAGTGTGTGTGTTAGTGTGTGTTAGTGTGTGTGTGTGTGTGTGTGTGTGTGTGTGTGTGTGTGTGTGTGTGTGTGTGTGTGTGTGTGTGTGTGTGTGTGTGTGTGTGTGTGTGTGTGTGTGTCTTCTTGTACTAGTCCAGACTAATGGCGGTTTTATACTTCAAACGTGGTATTCCGCTGATCAGTCCTTATTTTAGCCCCTTAATGCCGAGCGCCAGGCAGGGTGAAAACAAGCACCACCTTTTAATGTCTTTTGGTATGGCAGTCTACCGACGTTCCACTCTCCCAGCACACGATCTTGTCGGCGAGCCAATCAGCAGAGTTGTGTGTCCAGCTTCACCTCCATGACGGACCACCGACGTTCCACTCTCCCAGCACACGATCTTGTCAGCGAGCCAATCAGCAGAGTTGTGTGTCCAGCTTCACCTCCATGACGGACCACCGACGTTCCACTCTCCCAGCACACGATCTTGTCAGCGAGCCAATCAGCAGAGTTGTGTGTCCAGCTTCACCTCCATGACGGACCACCGACGTTCCACTCTCCCAGCACACGATCTTGTCAGCGAGCCAATCAGCAGAGTTGTGTGTCCAGCTTCACCTCCATGACGGACCACAAACGTTCCACTCTCCCAGCACACGATCTTGTCAGCGAGCCAATCAGCAGAGTTGTGTATCCAGCTTCACCTCCATGACGGACCACCGACGTTCCACTCTCCCAGCACACGATCTTGTCAGCGAGCCAATCAGCAGAGTTGTGTATCCAGCTTCACCTCCATGACGGACCACCGACGTTCCACTCTCCGAGCACACGATCTTGTCAGCGAGCCAATCAGTAGAGTTGTGTATCCAGCTTCACCTCCATGACGGACCACCGACGTTCCACTCTCCGAGCACACGATCTTGTCAGCGAGCCAATCAGCAGGGTTGTGTATCCAGCTTCACCTCCATGAAGGAGCAATGATTCGAGCATGGAAGGTGTTGACAAAGCATGTCCACCTCAAGGCCGCGATGAATTTGTAAGCAAGATATTGTGCAGCCACCATCGGCCTGTGTCAGTCACCAGTGCCATCCCCCGAGCACCATATCCCCAAACACAATCACCCACTCACTCATACAACACACCACCAATAATTGCTCAGCTTAGCGTTGTTGGTCTTTGTTCCTTTGACCTGCCCATCGCCTTACGCCTCATGCATATGGAGGCCGATCAAGGACAAGTGTGATGTACTAACAGATGAAATCAAGTTCTGAAAGGTTCAATACCACATGGCGGATAAAATCGAAATATGGTACTTTGTTTGTGAACAGAGATCCCATGTGGGTTTGCCTAGCCTCGGAGAACGCTACAACTCCGGATTAGATCAACCAAGCCATGCATTCGCAGGGAGATACAAATCTGTACCAATTGCCCGGCAGCCCGCAAACTAAGCCAATGATTTAGTCATTTGATAGCCTTTCCCAGCATCTACATGCATATACGAGCATATACGACTTGACTTATCTAAAAGATCAGCTTCAAACACTTTCCTAAACTAAGGTATGAATTTAGATACAAATTAAGCCAATACACTTTGATGATAAACGAATTTCATGGCAGAGACAAAACTTAAATCTAAAAATGTTTCATCTGAAAAGGATATGCTCATCTACCTTGCTATATTTGTGCTGTAGCATTACTGCCGTACCGGAAGCCCTTCAAAAGGATTACTCGACCTGCTTCTCTCCCCAGGGGGCGCTCTCAACACTGACACACGTCAGTGTCACCTGACCATTCAGGAATGTTTCCTTTCTGCAACTACAGATAATTGCATCTAATCAGCAGTAATGGGCCCTACATCACACCCGTGTCTCTAGCATCTCCGTGGTTAGTAATGGATGTCATCTCAACAACTGAGGCACAGCTAACTTCCAAAGAAGTATATGAGTGCGGGCTACATTCTACAAAAACGGAAGATCGATCGCGTGGTTGAAAATAGCGAACAAATCTTTGAAATTTGATACGTGGATTTTTATCAGGATAATTCAAACTTAGTCAGTTCAAAATGTTGTTTCCCAAGAACTTGTTCCTCAATCTGGCTTAATTCTTATCCGCCTCTTAATGTAAGCATCACGGCTATGTCACGTGTACAAGATGTCTTGTTCAGTCCCAATACTACGGTCAAGTCACGTGCAGCGGGTGCCTTGTCTTCGTCTCGTGTACACAGCAATATCTGCTTGCACTTGTCCGGACTAGTGCCGGCTTCATAACGGTGGCCAACTGATCTCCCATGCCGAAGTTTTAACATGAATTGCCTTCTCGAACAGAGTATACTGACTCCGAGCCGGCCATCATCTTAAACCTGAACGACAAGCAGGGTTACAAGTTTTAAAGTTTTTTTCCCGGCCTTCCGAACTCCGGAAGATGCTCCTTCCACTCGACCACAGAGACTGGCCGGTTGTCATGGAAGCATATGAAATCCTTTGTTTTATTACGTTGTATAATTTCAGAGTGTCATAATGTCTGTCTCACAACTTTTGTTTGTTTGTTTGTTGTTTAACGCCGCACTCAGGAATATTCCAGCTATATGACGCGGTCTGTAAATAATCCAGTCTGGACCACACAATCCAGTGATTTACATCATGAGCATCGATCCACATACGATGACCTGCATCAACCAAGTCAGCGAGCCTGACCACCCGATCCCGTTAGTCGCCCCTTACGACAAGCATAGTCGCCTTTTACAGCAAGAATAGGTTGCTGACGACCTATTCTATCCCGGATCTGTCTCGCGCCTCTTTAGGTGAGTGCTGCGGAAATGTGCCGATAGCATTTATAAATTTATTTGCGCTGTCGATTAAGGTCTTTTCAGAGACGCATCGCTGGTTAAAAGTACATTTCCTGGCATCGAATGCTTCCGACAACTCGCCAATATCTTTTCACATAAAGGTATTCGCATAAGGAGGCCTGTGGCGACAGCTCGACACAACACATGCATATGGTTAAAGCTCCATACAGCAAGAAGACGTTCCAGGATAATAGATGAACTATTAAGTACTCACATCTCGTGCACCCTGAATGTTGATTTTTAATTTCAAAGAGTACAGAAAGAGTAAAGTTTCATGTTGTCGGGGAGAACTGTAAACATACGCTAACAGATGGCCTTCACAATCAGACCGTGTACAAAGACACTCCACTCCATACATCTTACAGAAACAGTGTTGTTTTTTAATCAATGATTAATGATCAGGTAAAATTTGAATTGTAAAATATAGCGTTCAGTTATTTTGTCGTGTTAAAATCAATTGAACATACCACTGCCTAAATCCAAAATCATTTTGAACAGTTTATTGTACATCAACGTTTGGAACACGTTAGATCGAAATAACCATAGACCAGAGAGAAATTAGGCCACAACAAATTAAGTATTTGTCGGAATCGATGTTACTGTTTTAACTAACTGACAATTCATAAAAAGAGGGGGTTAGGGTGGCCTAGCTGTTCAAGGCGCCGCCATTCGCCTTTGGCATGCCAGAAATTTATGATTGTGGGTTCGGATCGCGTATATATCCCGATCCACCCCGATAAGGTTTCTAATTTTGTCAGCACTTTGCTGTGGGCTACCACAAAGTGGTAAACGTCCGAGACCTGCATCACTTCGGGCGTTCCTCCCAAATCAAGATTACAGCCCGTGATATAACTGGAATACTGTTCAAAGCGGCGTTAAACCCAACTGACTCTCTCAATAGTTTAATGTTTCTGAAACACGAGGCAGTGACACATCCCATGACGTTCTGAGGTTCTTTAAATGCAATACTCCAGTGTATAGCTGTGGCTCGAACCTTGATATCAAAAGTGATAGATCGTGTTTAACGAATGCTCAACTGAATCAACTTAATGTCAGTAATGGGAATCGTTCAGAACATTTAACGTCATTCCCGATTCTGTTTTCGTTACAAGATCGCCTTTATTTCTCCACGCCTGTCGTATTCGTTCTTAAATCCGACACATGGCCGCGTTTACCTTGATCACACATGGTTAATGTACATGAACGCCATCCCAGGCGTTATATGTCTCCATTACGGGACGTATATGATACAGGTATAGCTTGTGGAATATTTACAGCTGACAGGAGAATCATAAAACATCTCCAACCATCGAGACGATGCTTAGTTTAACATTTTCACTTTGTTTCATTATGGTCATTGTGTTTAATTTGCATATCCACACTGGCTATAATTCCATGCATAAATGTTCGGAATAATTAGCATGTTTAATTTACACGACATCAACATTACTAACGCTGTGCTGTACTATCGTATACATGAAGAATAATGAACAGTCTATCACAGCTGTGTAGAGTTGCCCTACTTCCGTAGTCCCCAGCGACCGCGGACTATCATCTGTGACTACGACACCAACAGTTAATGAATATATATCCTGTTTATAGGACCAAGCGCTCCCAGGATCCCTGTCCAATTCCAAGGCTGCTAAATCAAACTCATGTGACGTCTGGTGCAGGAGGAGTCAGCTACAGTCAAGATAGGAAGCTCTCTATCCCTGCGGAGTTTAATGACGTGCGCCCTTCTTATGGATTGAGTGATTCTCGTGGTATGTGGCATTTTTGTACTTTCACTTTTCTTTTTTTAGTCGATATTTATTGGATTTACCGTACTGATGTTCACTATTCTTCTTCTTTCAGTTTTCGGACAGATGGGAGTAGAGATATACTTGTAACCTCATTGAAGTGTGCTTTGCCTAAACGCCTTTTTAAAATGACCTCGTCGGACATGCGCATCGAGGGTGTTGGGGGTCAGGAAGGGGACATAACCCGTGTTATCAGCATTGTGGACAAAACGGATTGCTGTCTCAACATGACGACGTCTTCTTCTCTGTACAACATCATAGACGGCAACCTGAGTGTTTTTAACAACATTACTCCATCGGGATCCGACCTGGAATCCATGAAGATGGAAATGCCTCTGTATCTCATCCTGTATTTCACAATAATCAACACCGTCGTGTTTCTCACGGGAATTATAGGGAACACCCTGGTTATACAGGTCATAGTGAGGCTCAAGTCCATGAGGACCCGGATGAACTACTTCCTGATGAGTCTAAGTGTGGCGGATCTGCTCGTGCTCCTCGTGTGTCAGCCGTCCGCCATGTTGGAGTTCTACGGCAAGGACCGATGGATGCTTGGAGAAGTTATGTGTAAGTTACTTTTAGTTTTATCTGTGTCAAATTTGGTTGATTGTGTTCTAAAATTTGGGACAAGCGTTGCTTACATAAAGTATTGCAGGGACAGTTCGTTCAACATGAATAGGGTTTTGTCATACTCTCCGTCGGATCTTGAGTGAGTGAGTGACTGAATTTTGTTTTACGTCACAGTCAGCACTATTTCAGCAGTGCATGCGTGCGTGCGTGCGTGCGTGCGCGCGTGTGTGTGTGTTTGGAGGGGTCGGGGTTTGTGTGTGTGAGGGTTGGGGGGGTTGGGTTCCGGGAAAACTGAAATTTTGGCTCTGGCTTCTACACCAATAAAGCACCGTGTGTGCGTAAACTTCTAGCCGAGGCCAGTTTAAGTTTACGTTTAATAAATACAAGCGACAACACCAGCAGAGTCGATTGTACGATTCCGGCTATATCATGACCATGTGTTTAGCATGCTGTCCGATGTAACTCCCTATTTTGACTTGTACCACATGTTTCCGTGTTTTTTCAGGTGAACAATTGACTTGTCATCGCATGTGTTTGTGACGGGTGACGGGTGCTCACCTTTTCGCGAACACCTGGTATCATCACTATTTGATAGTGATTCATAACCACATGGTCTTGATATAGTCGGAATCGTACAGGGTTTTTTACGACTATGGAAAGTGTTTTTTCGCATTTATTTAGAGCAAGTCCAGCCGTAACCTTTGCCCTCACAAAGCCAAACATGTCGCTGACCCTCAGTTAACTCACACAATGTAACCACGTGATCCCCATCACAGTCGAGTCGGCCAGAACGAGGATCTATTGTCCATCAATCTCAAATAGATTTGTAGTTGTCTCCATACGTCTCCAAAACGTTACCTCCCTCAAATAGATAAACGAGATATGGTTAATACAGTAGGGAGTGGTGAATCACTGCGTCATGTTATTGAAACATCAGCGAAGTCAGTCGAGTAAATTCTGGGCTAATGGATTTCCATAGGCAAACTAATGGTGTTTTGAGTGAGACCGCAACAATAGCACAGGTATAATAACCTCAACATGTAAATCATGCATCAATAGACATATTGGAAATAATCAATAAAGACCGTCCATAGTACTTGTTAGTCCAGGTGAATTATAGAGTTCATGGCAGAATGGGACTGTATTATTATCGGGTAACAAAATATGAATCCAGTTTGGCCACATGAAATTAATTTTATGTTTCTCGTCACTTAAATAAAACAGATATGGGTAGGGAGGCCGAATTCCTCCTCCCATTTCCCACCACTCTAACAACTAAATGCACGATTGTAGTACATGGAGTGAGTGAGTGAGTTGGGTTTAACGCCGCTTTTAACAGTATTCCAGTTATATCGCTGCGTGTCAGCATAATGTGGGAGGAAAGCCCGAAGTGATGCAGGTCTCAGACGTTTTCCACTTCGGTGAAACCCACGAGCACGGGTATGGTGCTGACAAACCTAGAAACATAATCGGGGCGAACCTGGATTCAAACCCATAATCATAGGTTCCTGGCGTGACCAAGGGACGCAAATGCACAGCGAATCGAGGCGCCTTTAGACGACTGGGCCACACGTGCCCCCTGTAGTAAGTGCCCCTGTAGATTAAGTGAGCGTGAGTGAGTTGGGTTTAACGCCGCTTTTAACAGTATTCCACGTATCAAGGCGTGTCAGCTTAATGTGGGATGAAAGCCCGGAGTGATGCAGGTCTGCGACGTTTACCACAGGTATGGTGCTGACAAACCTAGAAACATAATCGGGGTGAACCTGGATTCGAACCCACAAACATAGGTTTCTGGCGTGCCCAAGGGACGCAACTCTGCACAACGAATTCCGGCGCCTAAGACGACTGGGCCACTCTGATGGTAAAAGCCTGTGCATGGTTCGATATGGGTACAATTTGTTGAGCCCGATGTCGGTGTTTCCTGCGGGGGTAACTGGGATATTGATAAAATCCGTGCACACACCCTCCTTTTCTGGTTGAACTGCTGCGTATGGTTTGAATCCGGCTTGCGTATCTCATATTACAAATTCATAAAAAAAACACGTTTTGTTGAAGATACTATGTAATTATGTAATATTGCACATTCGGGGCGTACGATATGCATTAGTAGAAGGGAGCGACCATTTAATTTTCCGCCCGAAAGCAAAGATTGTATTTAACAGAATTCACTGACACCTAAAAAAAAAAACAAACGAGATTACATGTTTGGTTGACAAGGGATGTTATTTATTATAATTGCTTAATGCACATTCTTTGACGTATTTCAGACAGCATGAGTCTGCTAAAGATGACATTGGACATTTAATGTTATGGCTTTGCTAATGGAATGTCAAATGTGATTCAAAATTCTACATGTTTGACTACAATATCCCTGTTAATGCTATTTTCATTTTTAGAGTGCCTTCGGGATTTTCACTGACTCAATATCATTGAAGATAGCTATAATATTCTTGTTGGCGTGCTTGCATATGATTCACACCTAAGCTTAATAACAATGCACGTCTATATATGTGGGAAGAAAAAACACTAAATTCAAGTTATTTTTAATAAATTATATAACGTTGTCAATTGCAAACAGTAAATAATTATTTATAAAACATATTTTGATAAGGAGTTCTTTAAAATAATCCTTGTATTCGACCTGTCTATACAAGAGGAGAGCTCCTACTGGCACAGCTCAGGCCGGAACCGACAGCAAGGGAGATAACCGCTACACCAGACTAACAGGCCATAAAGGCTGGGTGTTATTTGATAACGGAGACCAAATTGACATCCCTAAAGTAGACCATCAAATATATGCGTTTCCAATCACAACTCTGCAACAGTTAAGCCATCTACATCTACCCTTTGGCTATCGGGGACCTTTCTTGGTGTTGGTTTATTCAATTGTCCTTATCGTGGCAGCGTTTGACAATTGAGGTCAAGAAATTGGACAAATATAATTTCTGTCAGGTCCCCTTATTGAAAGAATCACGTATGGGAGGAGGGGGCGGAAGCTCAATATTCGTCATTGTCCAATATAAAGATATTAACCCAGGCTGGTGCCAGTCTTCTTATAAGTTAATTAACTCGGAGTCGGAAGACCGGGCAACGTCAGAGTAGGCTGGACCTGAATGGACGTACATTCAGCACTGAAAGCACCAGACAGTAAAGTAAACCTCGAGAACATCCGGTTATGAAAATGATAATTGGGAAAGATGGCGTTTGGTAATAGACGAGCAGGGTGATGTATGGCCTTGTGTGACAGTACAATGGCCTCGCTTTCTATAGGTCGCGCTTTACATTTTCTCATGATAACGTTTATATGGTCTCCAAAAAGGGACATTGTCGCATTGTCTGAAAATAGAAATGTAACCGACGTGCAGCAATGCGATTAGTGGTCAAAATATGGCAATTTTGTAGACAGAAGCGATTTGTAGTGGGCACGCACATACAGCCTTTCAGACGGCGAGCGAGTCAATTAGGGTTAAACGCCATTTGGAAAGCTTTTAGTTAAAGCACGGCGCTTCAACCTAATGTTGGAGGAAGCCACATGACGCAGGTCGTAGACGTTGACCACTGTCGTGACACCACCGAGAAAAGATATGATGACAGGCCGAGGATCATAATCAGGGTGAATCTGGGAACAGAACATGCGATGAGCGGATCCTCGCTTTGTAAGGGACGTAACTTTGCACCGCAACGTGTGCATTTAGAAAGCAACGTTTGTATAACAGTTGGTAGAGACCATATACATATATATATATCTGCAAAGGGCTTCTGAAATGGATGTATTGTAAAACAAGCACCTAATAAGTACTGTAAACACAAACTATACCTCAGATGGAAAACACCATTCCTTACTTGACCTCAGGGCTGCATCATACCTCAAGCCCACACCTCACAGTACCTCGTTACATGTACACATCCCAACAACTCTGCATCTGTACATTGCTATATCTGTACATCACAACAACCCTACATCTGTACATCGCTATATGTCTACATCACAACAACCCTGCATCTGTACATCGCTATATGTCTGCATCTGTACATTGCTATATTTGTACATCACAACAACCCTACATCTGTACATCACAACAACCCTGCATCTGTACATCACAACAACCCTACATCTGTACATCACAACAACCCTGCATCTGTACATTGCTACATCTGTACATCACAACAACCCTGCATCTGTACATTGCTACATCTGTACATCACAACAACCCTGCATCTGTACATTGCTACATCTGTACATCACAACAACCCTACATCTGTACATTGCTACATCTGTACATCACAACAACCCTGCATCTGTACATCACAACAACCCTGCATCTGTACATCACAACAACCCTACATCTGTACATCACAACAACCCTGCATCTGTACATTGCTACATCTGTACATCACAACAACCCTGCATCTGTACATTGCTACATCTGTACATCACAACAACCCTACATCTGTACATCACAACAACCCTGCATCTGTACATCACAACAACCCTACATCTGTACATCACAACAACCCTGCATCTGTACATCACAACAACCCTGCATCTGTACATTGCTACATCTGTACATCACAACAACCCTGCATCTGTACATTGCTACATCTGTACATCACAACAACCCTGCATCTGTACATTGCTATATTTGTACATCACAACAACCCTGCATCTGTACATCACAACAACCCTGCATCTGTACATCACAACAACCCTGCATCTGTACATCACAACAACCCTGCATCTGTACATCACAACAACCCTGCATCTGTACATCACAACAACCCTGCATCTGTACATTGCTACATCTGTACATCACAACAACCCTGCATCTGTACATTGCTACATCTGTACATCACAACAACCCTGCATCTGTACATCACAACAACCCTGCATCTGTACATCACAACAACCCTGCATCTGTACATTGCTACATCTGTACATCACAACAACCCTGCATCTGTACATTGCTACATCTGTACATCACAACAACCCTACATCT